CATATATATCTTCAGGATAATTAGAAATCCTTCAGAAAAACGAGGGAAGGTGAAAAACTTTTTTCCAGTGAATTATTTAGTTGTTTCCAGAAGCTTTAAGATTATGTCTTAAACATTTTTTTAATTTTTTGAATTATCAAAAAATGCCATTTTTGTAGTTTTGAAGGAACAGGCTTCTAGATGAACTTTTTTTTTTTATGTAATTTCTGCACATTAGTTTATAATATTTCAGCTTTATTTTATTTTAGAAATTAAGTGTTTTATTATACAATAGAAATTTTGTGGGCAAGATGCAACGACACTCAGACAAGTGGACAGATGACAAGTAATTAAGGTATTTTCATATACTCGTATGTTGCAAATATTCCAAAAAATAAATTTTACAACAAAAAACCAAGTTTACAAAGTTGAAAACAAAATTATTAATGAGAACGTTTTTTTTGCTAATTACCATTATGTAGGAAATCTAATACAAATTTTATTTAAATTCTTTATGTCTCTCTATATATGCGTGTATATATACATATAAAGAAATTATAATCAAAACTTTTGTCATATGTTGACATTTTCTTATACAAACAACAAAGTCATTCTAAGTGTGAACGGGTTTTTTTTTTTTATATAAATTTTTCTCTTCTATTTTCTATAAATTTTTTATTGAACTCATAAAATTCTGGTTTTGTTCATCACTGATTCAATTTTTTTTTTGTTTTTTTCTCTTGTATACAAAATATAGAACTGAAACCTGAAATGGAACGTACATTAGTTTTAATTAAACCAGAAGGTGTTCAACGTCGTCTTATTGGAAAAATAATTCAACGATTTCAAGATAAAAATCTTATAATCATAGCTATGAAAATTATAGTAGCATCGAGAGACAATCTTCAAGAACATTATTGTGAATTTAGTGATCGCGATTATTATGAAAATTTTTTAGAATATATGAGTTCTGGTCCAATTGTTTTGATAGTTTTTGAAGGGTTAAATGCTATAAGGATGTGCCGTAAAATTATTGGTAAATCAACAGATTGTACACCTGGTACGATTCGCGGTGATTTTGCTACTTCTTCTGGACGAAATTTAATACATGGATCTCATTCATTATTGTCAGCATTACGTGAAATTCCAATATGGTTTACCGATAATGAATTGATACAGACAAGTAATTTAATTGCATACATTTTGTATTTCTATGTTAAATTTTTAAATTAATTCTCAATATGGCAAAATATTTATTAAAATTTGGAAAATTATGCAACTAATGCGAAAATAGTCTTTCCCTTTTATTAATTCTTTAAAATTTCTGTTTTATATTACCTAATACGGCAGACAAAAATTTGAGCATTACTGAATGTACTATATAAATTCATTTATATGTGCTCATGATCTATACTTGTTATATAACATTTTATAATTATAAATTGAGAATCGATATCATACATTTTTATATAAAATATCTATGTATTTATGTATAACGTAAGCATATACAGTAATAGCAATAATAAATCAATTATTGTCTACAATATAATTGATTTATTTCTATGTAGATGCATGTTACTATCTATCTTTTGATGACAAAATTTAAAATTTGGACTTGATTTTTTTTACAAATACGAATATTATGTAGGTACGTACATATATGCACATATTGTACATTATATAGTAAATCGTTATCAGTATTAAAGAAATTGTTAGATACGTTGAAATCGAAAAATGCTTGCAATCTTTCAGAATATCAAAATATTAATCAGATAAAATCTATGCAATAAATCTCAGTTATGAAAACTAAAAAAAGCTATAATTTATACTCAAACTTACCTATAAACACACATATGTATATGAACATAATTATAATAAATGTGTACGAACCAAATACTCTACACAGCAATATTTGCAGCAATAACTCTACACAGTTTACATACAAGCAAAAGAGTTAACTTTACTAAGTGCATAATAAAATAATTTTCTTTTGTAAAAGGGTAGGTACCTCATGTATAATTTGTGTGGGATTGATGCTTGATATCAAATAGATCTGTGGTGACATAATTATTTATTGAGGCAATTTCATACTTGGAACATTGCTATATTCACTGATGTATGTTGACATATGTGTGTAGATATTATTATGTATATTGAGCAAATATTTATTTAGAATGAATTTTCTTTACTCATTTTACTACACTGCATATGCACATAGCTATAACGTATATAGGAATACATTTGTATATACATATTTTACGAATTTTCTGCAAATGTGTATACGTATATTCAACATATATAATATACGTATGTACAAATGTATTTTTTTTTTTCTAACACGTTTTTCTAACAGTCCAACTAAAAACTTGCTCTCACTTCTTAATCGATTTGATATTATTCTTCTACAGAGTTTTTTAGTTTTATTATTGAATTATTATGTATTATTGCAAAAAATATTTTCTTTCTTATGATACGATTGTGAATTCTAAATGTTGTATGATTTAAACAATCATAGATATAATATGTATATGTTGAAAGGAAAAGCAATAATATGTATGAAGAAAATGTTTTTTTGTATGTATGTCATATTATGTACACATTACCGTACACACATCATTTTATTGCATGTACGCAAATAATATGCTATGTATGTATACATATGTACGTAGTTGACTTATTGTATTGTAATGTAATGGAATTGCAATATCGATATAGAAAGTTCTACTTATATATAAAAAATAAAATGAATTATTTAAAAAAAATTGAAAATCGGACATAGAAATTCCATTCACAAACATTGTTGGAAGTGACAAATTAAAGACGTGACTTGAAATTATTATTATTATTATTCTTACTTTTATAACAAATTGTGCTATACCATTTATAAGGAGAAAAATTAAAAAATATAAACGAAAGAAAATTGTCATATTTTTTTGTGTCTCTATATCTAATTGTAATTATAATTTTTGAACTATTTCTAAATGGTCACGTTTAATTTCATTAAAATTATAACGAATGTAAAAATTTGTTACAAGTAAGAAACAATAGAAAATATTAATTAAAAACAATATCCAGTTAATGTCCAACTCAACTCCAATTTATATTTGGAGTTGAGAGTACATTAACATACCATCCATAGTCTTGTAGCTTACGATTAAGAGCCGAATTTCCAATTTACAATTTTTCAATTCTTATTATTAAAATTATATGTAGTACTTTTTTTCTTCCCTTTAAGAATTTTTACTCATGATCGCTATTTAAACTTAAATATTTGTTTTTAGTATTTTAAGTATTTAATTACATAATTTGTAAAAATGGCCTATGTTAATACTTGATCTTATTAATCGCCAAACAGGTTGATACTAAATTAATATTAATTTCGTTTTTTTTTATTTTCGAAAAATTTTGCTATTTACGTATAATATTTTTATATTCTTGACCACAATCTAAAATTGTACGTTTTCACATTAATACATATATGTAAACAATATATTACATCTACCTACTTATTCACAAATTGACTATGCATATGTTCTTAATCCCACTAATAAAATGTATAAAGGAAGAAAAACCTGTTGCTTTTCTTAACTTAATAAAACTGCTATGCCTTTAAAATTTTTCAATATTGCTATTTAATATTTTAATCACATAATATTTACCTTAGTTATCTTAACAAAGCTTTTTTTATAATACTTCAGTTCTCATTTTATCCTTTTAAGTATAGTGTTATGATAATGAAAGAAACTACATAAAAAACAGAAAGGACAAATAATATGAGATTCTCTGAGAAGAAAATTTTCCTTAAAAATGAGAAAGCTTTTCCTTAAATTTGAAAGAGAAGAGAGAGAATAAATTAGTTAATTGTTAAAAACAAAATAAACTTTAAAATCTTTACAACACTTAAAATATACATATTTACGTACCTATATGTGCATGAAAATTATAAAACACTTAAGGGGATAGGTGTATTTTAACTATATATACTCATTTTAAATATCTATAAACATTATATATTGATATGTACTATTAGAAACAACCAATGTAACATATAAGCACAACTAATAAAATGTTAAGGTTTAATAGTAAAAAAATTATTTTCTCAAAAAGTTTGTTTTTAAAATTATTTTTACAACTTGTGGCTTAATAGTGAAGGAATTTCTAAAAAATCATTGTAGCAACTTTGCTCTCTATTTAAAACTTTTGTTTAATATTAAGTATTTTTTATGTATAACAGAATGCTTCGAGTTGAATACTATAATGTATATATAATTTGTTATTTTGATTTATACACTAATTTTTATGACAGTTTATAAAAGCCCGTAATTGTTAATCCGAGACGTTAATCAGAGTAATTCAAAAGCAACTAATTAAATTATGAACTCAAAACATATATTTTGCAATTAACACCAATTTAATCGTCTAACTTTAAAATCAAGTTGCATCTTCAAGCACCGTATAAATGATTTTGGTAATGTTACGTCACGACTAATTATGACTAAATTTACAAAGAATATTTCAAAAAACAAATTTTATTTAATGACAAAATGACTTAATTAAAAAAAATATATTATTAATTTAATAAGTAATATTTTCCAAATTCATTTCTAGTAAATAATAATTATTCGGTCTAATAAAAGAAAAAAATTATAATTATTATTTATAACTAAATTTTTGATAATTTGATCATTTTCACATGTTACGGTTACATTATTTATAACATAACATTTGTGGGACTACATACAATAAATATTTATGTACAATTCATAACAATACATAAAATTGTATTTATTTGACATAAAACAATAACATTGCGTTTGTGTATCAAAAGATGAAAAATTATGTTACATTAATGAAACATTAAGTTTATACTCTTTGTTCATGCGAGACTATTATTGTATTTTTATAAGTATGTATATAACAGCAAAGCAAATGAAATGAATGAAAATTATAAAAATAAAAAAATTTCAAATTCACATTCTTTTCTTTTTTAGTCTCATTTTAATATTTAAACGGTAAAGACGTGTACAACGGAAAATTGAAATAAAAAAATAATAATAACAACAATAATAATAATAGCAATACTATAAAGTATAATAATTAATATTAACCGAATAAATATTCAAAATAAAATTATTATAGCGAATTAGCACGCGTTCATTTGCTTAATTAAAGTAGAATTTTTGTGGATCTTGTATTTTATACCTTTTATATTTTGTTTTCATTAATATTCTTTTTTCTTAATCATATTATACAATTTAATAATATTATTAAGAAAGACTATCCTTTTATATTTGAAGAAAGAATTAAAAATATTTTAAAAAATAATTTATTAATTAAATAATTAGATTATTAAAAAAACAACATGTTCACAAATATTTACACAAATATTTAATATTATAATAGAGATATATGTATATTATACGTGTTTACTTATATTAATTAATAAATATTGCATTTAAATAAGAAAATCAAAATAACCAAACTAGTGAGATTTTCCTTTTCACTTTTATGTTTGCAATTTAGCAAATACCAAAAGCATTTCGTTTAGGTACCAAGCACGTTTAAAATATGAAGATAAAATTGTGATATTAATTTGAAAATCTAACAGCGATAAAACAAACAAAAAAAAAATAACATAAAATTCAAATAAAATGGAAAAAAAATTGAATAATAAAAAAAACGCCGAGTTTGATAAGCAAAAAAAAAAGTAAAAAGTGATAGCTTTAATTATAATTTTATACATACATACATTTATACTTATAATATATCCATACAAACACACGTGTAAAATATTTACAAATTATTTTATAAAAATGTTTTACTTTCATATAAACACGAATTTTACAATACATTTGTTTAATTTAGATGAATGTTCTAAGTTTTAAAGTTATTTGTTTTTATAATGTACCCCATAATAATTAAGCAATGTTAGTATGTGTGTATAACCAAATATATATACATATTACATACTAAACATTAGAATATATCCAATATAAGTGGTACAATGTTAGGGTACCTACAATGATTTTAATTTCTCTCTGCTTCTTAATTAATAAAAATGTACAAGATTATAACACAAGATTTATTTAAATGATTTAATTAAAAAATGAAAACAAATTAAAAAAAAAAAAAATTTAAAAAAAAAAAGAAATAAATTTATGTACCCTATTTGTCTTACAGATAAAAAAAAAAAGACAGAACAACAAAATTGTTGTTGAAATTAATTGATTTATAAAGAAATTTTTATAAAGTTGAATATAGGTAGATGATATTTTGTTAATGATATTTTAACATAATGATAATAACAGTTACTCACTTGTATGATGAGTAATGATGCGACACTGAATTTATGCAATTAAATAAAACGGGAATCTAAGGGCAATGCAAATTGTTTAAAATCAATTTAAAAACATTTTTTTGTTGGAATTTTCCAGGAATTATTTTTTTAATTTAAATTACAATTATTCATATATAAATATATACACCTTAATATAGAAATTGAGATAGAAATTTTCAAAAATATTCTTTATTAAAATTGAATCAGTATAAGTACGGAATTTACCTACATATGTAGGAACTAACAGAGTTACAATTTTGAACTACTTCATTTAAAGAGACGATTTCAGTTTTTTCACTGACTCTATAATTTTCAATTTTTTCAAAATTTTTTAACACATTTAAAAGAAAATTAAAAATTTTTCTAACGGGATCTTTATTGTTAACGAAGTAATGCACATCGCATTAATAATAAAATTAATGTTGTTTTTCCTAATATTTGAATAAATTGCTTAATGCGGCTTAACAATATTCTATTGCATTATACAGAAACAGAAGTACATATATTATTATTTAAGTACATACGGAAATTGTTCTATAATAATGTAAACAATAAATTTTAATTTAATATTTTTATTTAGAAATTTTCTTAATTGTTTATATTTCATTATACAATTTCTAAATTGCGAATATTAAATTTGGAAAACACTTACTCATATAATCAAATAAAAATAATTAAAACAAATTTTTAAAATAAATTTATATTTTTCTTAATTATTGTTCAAAAATCCTATGTAAATTTAATAACTAGCAATTTTTGAAAATTATTTTTTTAACGTTCTTATAAAGATCTTGGAACACAATGTATTGCATATTTAATGTTTTAATATGTAACTCTCAGATACGTCCCTATATTGAAATTTTTAAGACAAAGCTGTAAAAACATTTTCTTATTATGTGAAACCGTTAATCGGAAATAAGATTTGCTATTAGTATTTTAATATATAGGATAAGTTTTGAATCCGGAATCAATAAAATTAAAAAATTTTATTAACAAATTTTTGATAAAACAGTGAAACTGATATATTTATAAAATAAAATACCGCATTTAATAAAGATAATCTTTCGGAAATATGTACTTAATAGATAAATAAACTTAATAAAATAGAAAGTGGAAAATAATTAAAGCTCTTCATATTTATTTATTTAATTTTTTCAATGAAAATCTTAAAATCATTTTTTTTTTTCTATTTGGAAATGGTAAATAAAAAAATATTTGTTTTATTGTGTTCTTATTTCTATCTATTTTCTATATAATTTTATTGATTTTCATAAAATTATAATTTCTATTTTATAAATTCTTATTATAAAATACTCAAGCAATTATTTATTTTCCGTTAATTGTCAAGAAATGGATCAGCCCACATTAAAAATTGTTTTTTATTGTTAAAGTTCCTTTTTATTTTTTGCATAATGCAATCCAAATAATACAAAAGTAAATAAAATGAAATCAGATTTCTTTTCTTCTTAATTTTCTTTTGAAATATTTTTATTTCTCAATCTTTTCAAGACGCTCTAAATATATCAATTACGATGACATTTCATTGATAAAGGTAAAGTTATTGATTTCACTATTATATAAGTTAAACGAAGTGATGATAGCCAGTATTTTGTATCTCGTATGCATTAATATTGAAAACATTTCAAAAAATTACTATAGGATTATTATTCTCTATATAAAATTGATATATAAAAATTATTGCTATCAAACATATTGAAAAATATATAATTATCAACTAACATTTATTTGAATAAACAAATACATATAGTATTTTCAATTATATTTAAAAAATATTATTACTTACATTTTCAAATTTAAAGTCTTTAAAAGTAAATTCTATAAATTAAATTAAGATGTTCATTATATTTCAGCATAAAATTAACATCATAGAATATTATCAGAAAATCTAATCAAATATTGAAAACCTTATACAAATTTTGATTGTCATAAGATAAAATAAAAAAAAAAATTTAAAATAAAATTTGATTTTTTTAAAATTAAAATTTATTCGTTTACGAGAAAATATTCAATGTGACTGACATTTTCAAAGTCGGGTTTCCAATTCTAAAATAACAACTTTTTTACAATTTGCGAATAAATAATATGTACGATATTTCAAAGTTGCATGTATATACAAAATTATTTTATTATTATTATTACTTTTAATACATAAAAAGTTGTAAATTTTTAAGCTTTACGATATACTATGAAATAATTAAAAATCTATTACTCAAATTAAAAAAATTCTTTTATTGCTAACAGTGGTAACATAAATATAAATCTTTATGGTTTTGTTCTTTTATTCGTGATATATATATATATATATCATTATGTAATGCAAGGACTTTGTATTTTTTAATATGCCAAAGGAATATTTCACAGATGTTGCGAGATAATCCCAGAATGATTTCTTTTATGCTCTTTAATTCCATTGATAATTCAAAAGATTATAAAAAAAACTATGTAAAGCATTTAAAAAATTTACGATTTCGTGTATGTGTATATGCATCTTCTTTTGTTTTTAAAATGTTATATTAAGAGTTTTTTATATAATAAAATAGAAATTCCAATATAACTTCATTTTACACCTGATTCAATTTCAATGAATATCTTGATATAATCTATATAATTGTAAACGTTATAAATTTTATTTAGATTTTCACATCATATTACCCTTAAGTTCTTAATATACATAACATTATCATCTTTATAAAAACAAATTTTTCCCTTAAAAATTTAAATTACAGGCTCACATAGACAAAAAGATAAGTGCTTCACTATATTTTCAAAACAGGAATATTATTATATAATATTATGCTTTTTAGTTTCTTAATGGTACATTTTTATACATACATACATAAGTATATAAGAATATCGCCTTGTAATATACATTATACTTAGTTTTGTAATATCTGGATGTAATATGAAGATAATTTAAAATAATTACTTTTGCGTTGATAAGAAGTGTATATAATAAAATGTGGATTACGTTACCTATGTAACTATAATTATTTAAATATGAAACTGTGTAGAAAGGATAACCAATAAGTTTAAAATTATTTACGAGATCTGAACAATTTAAATGTTTTGAAGAAATTTTTAATTAAAGCAATTTGTATGTTTTACTTTTCTTTTAAATTAAAATTTTAGTTAGGGAAAATTTCAGTAAAAAGGTAAAATACATTTTAGTTTAGTAAAATTCACTTTCAAATAGTGTGTAAGTTTGTTAAAGTATAGTAGATATGTAAAACATTAAAATTTTGTGATTAGTAATTGCTTTATTGAATTCAAACTTGTGGTAACAAAATGTTTTTTACAATAACATTATTCTATTTCTTATTTTAAAAAATTCGTCGAGATTAAGTTATTAACTTCTGGCTTAAAGATACACAGATATAGCCATTTTAATGTGTTCAGTGTTGCTATTGTATAAATATGTAAGTGTATAATATGTACATTTTTGTTTCCTGTTTCTTTATAGGGCATTACGTAGTATATGTACGAGTACATTTATCGAATTTGTTGAAAACTTTTTTTACCTATTTACACTTTCACATTTTTCATATAGCGCTCGTATATATACACGTTTTATATGAAATATATATATGCTTTATTTAAAATATTGTTAAAAACTGTATTGGCATTCCTTTATTGAATTGTAACAATAAATTTGCAATTGTTGAACTTGGATTTACTGAATTTTTTGTTCTAATTAAATAAAATTTTTTCACAAACCCTAATTGAAATTAAATGAAACCCTAATTGAAACCCTAATTTATAAGAACGAAAATACGATATAGTTTCGTAAGTTCAAATTTTTATTTTGCACACAAACTAATAGTGATGATAATGCAATTTCAATTTATCTTATATTCGATTGCATTATTGCATTTAAATAATGTATACAAATTTATCATAAAAGTGAAAAAAAATATAATTAAAGTTATCATATTAAATGAACCATCAGTATATTGTATGAAATATTAAAGTTTTTGTTATACCTACGTACATAAATGCTTTACAATATTATATAAGTTCAACTAGATTTCATAGAACTTTGTGTCAACAACATTTAGTGTTATCAATATGTTTCGATAATAAAACTTTAATTATAAAAACCAACAATTATGCTTATTGATTTTTTTTCTTTATTTTTTTTTAAGCTATTTTCCTAATTAAAATACTTAAATACACTATAATGAAAAATAAATTTGTTATATGCGGATTATATATTGAATGGAAACGGTAAAAAAGTTTTAAATTGAATGCAATTTTAATTAAAAAAATTATTGTAAAATAGTACAATTTTACATGGCTTCCATAATAGAATTTCACGAATTTTATTTATCAAATTTTAATTTAAAAACAAAATTATAAAAACAAAATTAACTTATTAACAAAAAAAACAAAGAAAACTAAAAATGAGTTTTAAGTAAGATAAAGGCATTTAATATTTAAATAGTCATCACACCTACCTATACATAAGTGTATATATATACATATATAAAATATAAATCATGTCGCTCTGGAATAATTTAGTACAAAATATTAATAGACTTTGGCGGTTTCGTGTTTCTGGAGGTAAGTTTTTATGTTTAAGTGCATAAACTGTAAGTTAATATAGTTGTAAAAGCATGACTTAGTTTAAAATAAAAAAAACATAAGATTCTTCGTCTATTTCTATTGTAATTTTATATCTATATACATACATCAAACAAGTTGTAATTTGCTATAACACGAAATATTTAGAACCATGTCTATGTTCAAAATATTTCGTGTTACTCGTATTGTTGTACATTGTAAAATTGCACTGAATTAATTAGAGCCGTAAAATTTCTTGTTGATTTCCCATTTAATACAAGACATGAAACGTTCTTTTGTCACAGAAAAATCCTCTTGCAAATAGGTTTATAAATATGCTTTTAAATTTATAAGCAGAATTATTAATATTTTCTAAATTTCACTTCACAGACATTCACTGAAAACTGTTATAGAATGTAAAAACAAACGTTTTCTAATGTTTAACATTCTAGAGCTTTTTAAATCTGTGAAAATAATTAATTTTATTTATTTTATAAATTTATTACTGAAAGATCAAATTTTCGCTTTATTTTCTTTAATTAACATGCGCCACTCTTATACACATAAATTTTTAATATATATATATATATATATATATATATATACATATAACATTTTAGTGAAGTTTGTGTGAATATGTTTCTAATCTGATGCGTGTTAAATTTATATTCTCACTTTGTTGTCAAATACTTATTAAATTTTAAACATATTACTCATAGTTAATTAGTAAGGATTTGTTAACAATATTAGCACCTACATATTGCAAGAAAAAATAAAGTAGCGTCTTTGACGCATATATTCTGATATCATTAAAAATCTCTTATTGACATCTAAATACTATGTATATACAACTCTTAAGATGACAAACAAATAATTTTTTTGTACACGAACAGTATTGTAAAGTGGAAAATACGATACTGAGAAAATTTAAACAAACTTCATTACTATTCATTGATCTTATAGTAATTTGATTATTCTAAACTAAGCCACAATCTGCATAAGAATATAATTCAAATTTTATTCTCATTAACATACGCAAAATATTCTGATGAACTGAAGAAAAAATATTTTAAATTTCAATAATTCAATATTACTCAACGGCAGACTAATAACCTAATAACAAATGTAACTGAAATATGATTCTATTATAGCGTCATTCAAAAACCCTATACACCAGTTGGAAGTGAAAAAGGAGAAAAAGCTCAAAAATACTTAGCAAAAATCTGACAACAATATTGAAATAATAAAATAGTACAACAACATATGTATACTTTTCTCAGTTTAATGACCAAAATAGAAAGGAGCATTCAAAGGGGAAATTACAATTTTATAAAAAATTTATTAAGTTTTTTAATTATTAACTATAGTATAACTATTTTTTATATATTAACTATAGTAAAAATTAGCAGCTACCATATTTTTGATACTCGTATAGTTTTTCTGCTTTTTTTTTATGAATGTACTTACATTATAATTTAATCTAATTTTAAACTTCAATTATAACCTGTGTGATAGACTGTTAAAGGAGATGATTTACTTCCGTTATTATCCGGAAATTAAAAATTTAAAATCCAGAAAATTAAAATAATAATTATTTAAAAAGTATTGTTATTTATGGAAAACTATTCCAATAATGAAGAAATATTTATTTATACTTATAAAAAATTCCTTATAAAAGATAGATTTCGTTTCAACATTAGAATTGGTTTAAACTAGTTACATAAATTGCTTGTTATGAAAAAATCTGTTTTGCAAATAACTCTAATAATATTCTATTGTGTCAACAACCCTTTTTGTAATATGTATGTGTATTAAAAATTGAAGAAATATCAAATTTAGTTTAGTCTCAAACTAGTTCAAAATCTCAACACTAGTTGTTGAGATTTTGTTCAATGTTAATGACAAAGTTGTTTTAACAAATATTTTATTTAAGAAATAAGAAAAACAATATTTTGAAGGATTTTTTTTTAATAATGTAAAAATTCAGTGGCAATAACTTTAAACTATTGCAAATTTTGTGTAAATATTTTATGATAGTGTGATAAAATTTAATAAATTTTCATTTGAAACTCGAAAAACTTTTATCAAATCAGCTTTAAAAATCCATGCTTTCTTGAATAATAAATACATATATTTATATGTAGTAACTAAGTATGTATATTAGCAAATATACTATCTATAAGGCATTACTTATATCGTGGCTTTGCCTTTAAGTGAAATAATAATAATAGTAAGAAATTTATTCTACACACTTGAGAACATATTATTAAACATAAATCATTCAAACTTATTTTTTTGCAACACGTATATATAGATTATAAGAAAAACATTATATTTAATTTAATTTGAAACACTTTGTTACGTTTAAACGTGCTGAAATTAAATAATTCTGCTTCGTAAAAGATAAAAAAAAAATTCTAGAATAACTATAAGAGAAAAAAAAATATTCAAAATTAACGAAACTTTCCCGATTTGTTAATATTTTTTATAGTTTCGTCAATACATTTTGGTTATCAGTAAAATTATTCTCAAAATAAATTTTATCTTATTTTTTTTTTTATAACTAGAAATGATAATTTTCTATAATGTCTATAAATATATTGCAACAAAATCAGAAAACTTTAAATTACTCATCAATCACTCCCAATTCCTGTGTTATCGCTCATCGAACTGTTAAAGAGTGATCAGGTTAAACAATCGACAATAGTTTTTTATTAGTTATCATCACATCAAATTACAGATTTATTGTACATTAAAAGATATTTTATGATATAAAGTTTCCATAATTGGTGTGTTATGATCTGTATAATAATTATTATAATAATACTATTGTCGAAGATTTTCTTAGAAGTAATTAGAATCCATACTGCAATAATCCGAAATAAACTATAAAAATAAACTTCATTGTTTTTCTCTCTTTTACAATTTTACGGGAAAATGAAAGTTAAATAGACAAAATGAAAACGTAAAAAAAGCTGAAATTGCGTAAATTTACGATGAAATAAGATTTACAATATAGTTAACACAATATAACAATGTAACTAATTCGAATTTCATTTGGATTATTTTTGGGTGATTGAATGTAGTTATTGTATATTGTACAATAATATAATTTCATATTTATAGGCATTAAACAAAATTTATAATACTATTGTATTTTTACAATATCTATATATTATATCTCCAATAAATTGATATACATAATATACTAATAGGTGTATAAAATAATTGATATAAATATAATTACGTTGTATAACGTATTATTATATTTACACATGTGGGGTATTTTTATACCATTACGTATAGAATATGCCATACCTGTAAAAAGACAAACAAGAATATAGTTATGTTTATTATATATGGATGTATATTATTTTAATATAATAAGAAAAATGAGTACTAGTACAATGTGTAAATTATATAAAAGCTATGTACTTAAGTATACATATAGTTACTTTGTATATTAATAATGTTACATTTTAAACATGTTTAGCCATATTATTATATGAAATTATTCTACCCATAAGGTTAAGCTTTGCAAAATTGAAACGATTGTAAATAAATTGAATTAATAAATTAGATCAAAAACGATATTATAAATTTAGCCAGAAGTAAAATAATTTAAAATTTTGAATTAAAATTTTCTTCTTTTTAATAATACATAATTGTTATTTGATGATTTTATTCATAAAAAATGAATTCTTAAAATGAAAAGGACGGTTTTTTTCTTACTAATGCCTAAAATTCAATTTTTATGTTGAAAATGAATTGCTTTTTATGTTTTTAATTTTTTGTTTGTTACATAATGTATATGGGTATATGTGTGCTTCTGCAAAATTATAATTTGCAAATGAATACATTTAAAAGGAATTTATTTTTTCTCTAAATTAGGCTAATAACAATAATGTAACATTTAATGTTGTATGGGTGTGTGAAACGATATATGAATGTGTAAAAAATTAATGATTCCTTTAAAAATTTAAAAACAAATAGTACTTATAGATCATATATACCACTATACAGCTTTTTATATATAATTACTGCTATCGTAATAAGATTACAATGTGATAATCTCGTATTCGTAACAGACAATTAATTAATTTGTTTATTTATTTAATTATTCGCTATCTCAAGAGAGCATTGGCTCGCACAGAGTGTTATAATTTCATTTTTTTAGATACAATAAAATATATATTTAATTAGTATACGTAAATTCGAATAGATAATTAACATTATTTTATAAATACAAATACAAATTATGATAAAAATAATAATTTAAAGAGTTTAGTTAAAGAACAGAAAGCATAACATTAAAAACAAATGGACCTCCACTGAAATTCTTAAAATAATACGAAGAAAAATATATTTTCAAGGTTAAAATTATATTGCGATCACAAATAAATAAGCTTATGCAGATGTGCAAAGATATGGAAAAAAATGTCATAGAAAATTTCAATAATAGGCAAAATAATAGCCGGCGAAAGCTTTTTCAATGTAATTTCTATTTGAAATAAAAAAAATTAATAAAAGATTTTAAAATGATTATTTTCTCACGAAACCGTCTTTTTGGAGTACTTTGCACATCTGACATTATCTGCAATTATTATGAAAATAAATATGAAATTATTTTTTTGTGTTTTTGCAAAAATAAAAGTAAGAGAATTTTTTTTCATTATTTTAACTTTAAAAAAGTGGGAGATATAAAAAAAATTATTATAGAAAAATAAAGTATTCACTAAGGTGTAGAAGTTTTAAAAACACATGTGCAAACCAATGAAAAGAAATAGTGAAATAAGAGACACAAAAATTTTTGGCAAATGTGTCAATTAAAAGACTGGGGAAACCGGCATCGTTTTAATTTTTAATAAATGAAAGTTTAAACAGATGAACACAATTTGAATAAGTCTATGGGTAAAAGTATTCAGCGTAAATAATCAACACTTTTGCTGGATGTATTATTGATTCAATAACAAACAGTAAGGCCAAAAAGAGAAACGCGT